TTTTTTTTAGTAAATCAACGGGGGAAAATCATGGCAAATTCACGTTTGTTGAGAGAAACTGAGGAAACTTTTGGGTGACATCTTTTTATGTCTGTCTTTGCTTATACTTTCACAGAATTCCGCTATTTACGTATTCTTGAAACTCGACTAATGTAAAACCAATAATGGCATTATATTTAAAAGTCTTTTGCCTCACTAAATAATCTTTGCAACGGGCTATAAAAAGGTCCATGCTGATTAGTTGAAATTAGCAGCAAGTTTTCTAAAATTACTACCATTATGCTTGGGACAGGCGCCCTTCCTTAATAGGTTCTAGGTTCGTCAATCCATTACATTGCTTTTTTTATATTTGGGATCAAAGTGCAAAAGCATTTGCTCATGCATCAGTCTGCGTATTTCAAACATGATCATTAGAACCTTGACTTGACTCTCTTCGAATTCTGCAGCAAAGCCAAGTCGTGCTCTTTCTCGAGACTCGTCGCGCTCTTTCCTTCGACTTCTGAAATGAAGTAGTTCAGTTCCACCAGGATAGGTAAACAAATCCACTCACTCTTCGTTTTCCCTGTCGCGGTTCTCCTTCTCGAGGCGATGCACCAAGTCCTTGATTTCTTCTTTGGCATCATTCAAATCCGCTCTGAGAGCGTCCTCCCTGGCGACCGCTTCTCTTGTCTCTGTTTCAGCTTTCGCTAGGTCTGTCCTCAGATTGGCCAACAATGCATTTTTTGCTTTTTCCAGCTGCAGAAACACTCAACTTTTCAAATGATCTAATATGTTTTAAACTAATTAGTCACTTACCTGCTTTCTTTCGTTTTCCCAATCTTCTCTATCCAAGTTGTTTTGCTCAATAATTTCATCCATTTCTCTTTTGTGCTTAAGCGAGGTCTCTTGAAGTTTTTCTCTACAAACACAGTATTTCTAATCAGCATCTAAAAGCATTATTCAATGCAGCTTACATTAGCTCTGCATTCTCCTGCGTCATGTTCTGTTCTTCTTCCATAAGTTTCTCATGAAGATGAGTAAGTTGATTCAAGCGATTTTCGCATTCTTTCACCATCTTCTCTCTGTGTTCCTAAATCCGCAGGATTGTAACTGGCAGTTAAGGTAAACAGGGAGAACACGGGCACTTACCAGTTCAGCGGTCATTTTTCGAAGTTTTTCGCTATACTCATCTCTGATTTCTCTTTGCCTTAATTCCAACTCTTCTTGGAAGCGAAGTTTTTCTACCCTAACAAGCTCTTCCTTTTCCCTCGATGCAGACTGCAGTGATTTTAGTTGCTCTAAAAGAGATAACATCAAGAATAAGACTATAAAATAATCTTTGCCAGTTAAAATACAATGCCATTTGCAAAAGATCTCTTGAATTCTTTAACAGCAAGAGACTGAGGATTCATAGCTTGTTTTATAGGACCTCGGTAGAAAAAAGTACCGAAAGTCATTGCGTACATGATCCGAAAAAAAGTACCTTTTAAGTCGTCTACTAATAACTCTTTTTGTTTGATTTCAGCAGTGAGACGATCGAAATTCATACGAAGTTCTTCGATGAGCGAACGCTTCTCGCTGTCCTAAATGTCATAGTTTCATTATATAGCATATAACTTTTTTTTT